AACCTACTAGCCACGGCCTCCAACCTAACTGCGATGGACTCCAACCTCACTGCGATGGCCTCCAACCTAACTGCGATGGCCTCCAACTTAACTGCGATGGCCTCCAACCTAAAGTCGATGGCCTCCAACCCCTCCAACCTAACTGCGATGGCCTCGAACCTAACTGTGATGGCCTCCAACCTAACTGCGATGGCGGAGACCTAACTGCGATGACCTCCAACTCAAAAGCCATGGCCTTCAACCTAACTGCAGTGGCCTTTAACCTAAAAGCGATGGGCGTTTGGAGAGCCTTTTGGACATCCTTCTACAGCATGTATTGCTGTGCAATTGGCCTGGCAAGGTGCAGGCATCCCAATCCTTCGTATGACATGCTTCAATGATCCTGATCCTATTGTCGGGTGATGAGAAAGACACACAAACAACAGTGCTACCTGCCGTGAAAGGAGGGACTTACGAGTTCGCCTGGGTACATGTATAATAATGTATACAGTATATATACAATATACATCGGTGGAACGTATGGGGTCGCCCCAAGGTATTTTTCCCGACCTGTGTCTAAGACAGCGTCACTGCCGGCCAAGAGCCACAGGCAGCATGTACTTGAAGAGCTTCCATCATAAGTGACATTGGGTAGTTTCATGTCAACTCCTAGATTAGTTTGTACAACACATTCTGCCACTTTGCCATTCTTATCCTCTTCAAATTTTCATTGCACATCATGAAAACCAAGAAATGCAAAGAAAGCCATCAGTGACTGACTTGTGACACCAGGAAAGGCCAGAACAACAGTACAGCAGCAGTCTTGCGAAAATGCCGTGTGAACCCAGAAATGGTACTTGTCTAAGTAACCCCTGCGTAGTGTGCATCAGGCCTTGCAGCGTGAGCACCTCCATGTCTTGAGCATGCATGAACACCATCAAAGCCCTCAGAGCCATTGAATCCTGTAGATCTTGGACATCACTGAGGGATAAGGGAGCGTACATGATGTGCTTCTGGAAGGCTGCACTGGACTGAACATGTTCATCTCTGATCTACTGGCGAAGTGTATTCAGGTCCATTGCAGAAGCACAGCTGAGGGCCAAGTCAGGTAAGCTAAAATGGCTACAAGAGTAAGAAACACTGGTGTAGGGCGGTGAAACACGTTCTACCCATATACATACATACAAGACGGTTGCGACGCTCGTCAGAATTGAGCCTCATCAGGTCCTGCCGGTGATTGTCCCCGTGGGTGGAGAGGAGCGGAAAAGGGTTGACTCGGGTTGACTGGTTGACGGATGCCTAGCCACAGCAGAAACCTCTTGAACCCCTCTAAGCACATGGCCCTCTAGGGCCAGCGAGTTCTGCGTGACGGTGCCCAAACACCCACATGAGCAAATATCATGGTCGAATTACACTCAGGCTTTTGGCTCAATGGATTGCAGCAGGGTCTGTGAAGAGGTGGGCAGCAAGATCTGCTCACGCTTCAGTAGCTCCTTTCCGAACTACGTGCGCGGGGTCTCCAGTCTCCATGCCCACCCGCTTGGCAAATGAGCCTTCCTTTGTCATCGACTGTCATGACTCTCATGCGAGAAAGACACAAGGCCACAAGGCGAAAAGAACACATGGTTGATAAGCAGCTGAAACTCCTAATTATCCTAATTACTTGTATCTAGAGCAAAAGGCCAGCAACACGTGCCTTGTGACCGAACAGGAAGCTTTGCGTTTGGGGCAGCTCAAGCAGAGTAGACCTACATAGACTAGACCTACTATCTTTGTGGTCGAGGTAGACCCAGCACTTTGAGCTGCCATGGTATGCGTCTCAAGGTGCTAGTTGGCGAACACGCCAAGGCCGCTCTGCAAGAGAGCACTGAGTCAACTGAGACTTAATTTGATCCTGGATATACAAACACACACACACACACACACACAACAACACACACACACACACACTTTTGTGAACCCACTGCGTGCATTTATCTCAGTGACTTCGTCGGGCAGAGGTTTGATTTGGGGGCCGTGTAACACAGGCACTGGAGATAGGCCACTGGAGATCTGCGGAGTCTCAAATCCGCTAGGTGTGCATTCGTTTCTCTGTGTTTTTTGGCGGGTCACATGAGACCTTCAGAGCGACATGTCACACTTTCAATGACTGAAACTGAAACTGAAGAGACTTCGAATCTCTCCAAGAGAGTCGAACGGATGCTCTCTGCGTAATCTGACGTGTTTCAGGCGCTTCGTTGGCAAGAGGCCTTGACTCTTTGGGCTGCTGGCAGCAACGAGGCCCCCATCAGTGTGCTTGTCTCTCGTTTGTCGATTTGTCTCGGGTCCCAGCTCTAGGTCCAAGCGAGACAGAAAGCTCTCGGAGATGGGTCGTCCCCTTTTTTGTCGCCAAGAAAAATCAAATGGGTTTTGTCCCCCGTGGCAGACAGCGAGATTGTATGAAAATATGTAAGAAATTAGTATTTGCATGTCCGTTTTTCTGGAAGCATTACTCAATCCCCTGTAAAACGATAAGGAAGAAACACATACGATAACTCCCGATGACTCTTGTGGAACACCCTTGACATGCGAGACGTGGTGTGACGAAAACGAGTGCACACACAAACAGAAAACCTACTACTGTTCCAAATTGGGAGGGCTTGGACGGCTGTAGCCTTGGGCTAAAGCATTGTTGTGCCACATGGTTTTCTAACTTGCACCAGGCATGAAAACGATAACAAAACGATAAAAAAACGATAGCACAGCGAACCTAAAACACCTTTCCGTAGGCAGGCCACCACATGGGCGTAGTTGGAATGAAGTGTGCTTAATGTCTTCATGCCTGCAAGTAGTGCACGCACTACATTATACTACATTTGTTGCAGTCTGGCAGTTAGTCAAAGTGCTGTAAAACGATAAGGAAGAACAACAACGATAACGTCAAAAGTGGTATAGAGAAATAAGGTAGAGGTTTTTTTACACAACCTCAGCTCACTTTGTTGGAGCATTTGCTGTGGCTCCTGCTCCCGAGCAGAGCTGGCGCAGCTCACGCGTGAGCGTTCCCGCGGAGGTGACCTACAATAGCCTCATAGCAGCTTGCCAGCGAGGGAGTCTGTGGCAATGTGCTTTGGCCGTCCTAAAAGACCTGGAATCGACGTTGCAATCATCAGTGCCTGACTTAGAGGGTGCATTACTTTTCAATGTATTCTCGCTCTGCCAGACCTTTGATTCTCTCACTTGAGAATCCTCTTGATCTTACCTGGCAGTTTTAGTATATATTATATATATCATGTTGTATATAATTACTGTAGATGATATAATGTGCGGCATCTTTTTTGTTATTCACAAGGCTGGCATGTATCACCAGTCAAGTCAGCGAAAGTTCAACTGTCAGATCATCTCAAGTCTCCGTACCAAAAGAGGTTGGTTTAGGTCCCCGAACCTTGTGGCCTTGCCTCACTTTGAGCAGATTACTAGAACAAAGATGACCGGCTGCCCGCGGGGGCCCGGATAGCCGGGACCGAAGCTTCGCGTGAGGCGGAATGGTGAGGTTTCTCAGCGGACATTGCAGGTCCGCTTTGATCCTCCAGCTTTGTTGACTTTGGCTTGTGAAACCAACTGCTGATCTCCCAGTTGAGGTGATCTCCTACAGCTCATGCCTGAGCGCGCTGGAACGATCGCAATGGTCCAAAGCCTTGAACCTTTGGGAGGCAGCGCGCGTCCGGGACGATCGTCGCCCCACGGCGTGTCCGGGGATGGACGTTGCGGACAGGTTTCTCACCAAACTGAGAGTCCGCCCTTAATGAAGTAGGTGCCTACTTAATGAAGGGCGTAGTTTGCTCCTAGCAATAGGAAGCTCCTAGCTAGGACGCAGGATAGCCCACGCTTCTTCAAGGAAGCTTACGGCGGTGGGGGGGAGCTTCCTTGAAGAAGCGCAGCGCTCGCGCTAATCGTTTGGTTCCTACTGTAGATGTTTAGGGAAACTTATCCTTTTGCATACGAAGAGCATGATCAGATCACTCAGGCTATTTTTTGGGGTCGCCGGAATCCCTGGATCCAAATTCCGTTAGCTTGAACCATCATTTGCCGGAACCTCGGGTGATCATTTTAGCTGAGTTAAGCTTTCTTGGACTAGACACCTCGAGAGTGCATTCTATGCGGAAGTCTGGTGCTGCTGTTGGGGCGGTTTTACACCCGGCACAGGCGGGATCCCGTCACCTGGAATTTCACAGCTAAAGTCTAGTCTTGTTAAGGAAAGGTCTTGTCTTTAGCACCTGACTCACCAGCTTCCCTTGCAGCCAATCAAGCTGAAGCGCTCCAGCTGCCTGTGTTCCTGCTTTGCTTTCCTCACATGCGACCAGCATGCTGGAGTCCCTTGCACACGTATCTTCAAGACTATGTGATGCGTAGCCTGATCTGTGGGTCAGCTACCTGTCGACTGTTGCTTCTTGGATCCACCGAGCCTTGCTCCTCTGAGGCCATGGAAGAGAAGAAGATCGAGGCAGATGTGATTGAACCTCGGTGCGGTCATCCGGACGGTACCCCGACGCCCGAGCGACGCCCGGTGACCGACGTGAAGACCCGGACGCGGACCGATGTCGGGTGATGCCAGACCGAATGAAAAAGCCCCGAGGAGGCATCGTTGGTATGAGGGGCGACTGGCTTCCCAAATGCAAGATCACTTCCACTGGTCTTTCGGCCATGTCGCAAAAAGCCGGACTTGGTGCATTTTGTAGCAAATTGGGCTGAAAGAAATAGACGTCGCTTTGGGCAACTGGTTGTGCCAGCAAGCCGATGGATCGTCAGGTTCGCGCCCTGAAGCTCTTAGAAGCTTAACCAGCTTAACCCAAGATACCTTTCAGCTTCTCAGGGCTGTGACGATAGGCCCCAAAGACATGGCGATGCCAAACTGCTCCAATTGATTTATATATTATATATATAGACTCGTGACTCTAGACTATCAGATCAATTGCTGGGACATCACTGAGGCCTACAATGTTGCCATCAATGCTTGTGGGGAAGACTGGCAAGCAGCCATAGTTCTTTGGCAAGCAGCCATAGTGCCGAAGAAATCCTTCGGCCCAGTGGTGCTCAGTGGATGTGCCCACTGAATACACATGGACTATCAATTTTGCGTCGAAGCTCTGGAGATGATTTCTCATTTTTGTTGACACACGCAAGTTAATGACGGGTTCATGCCTGGAGGACTCCAGGAAACATCCAAAGACGGAGCAAAGGCATGGAGTGCCCTTGACTGGCTGTGCACGTGAACCCAAGGCTTTGCTTGTACATCTGAATGCTTCAAGACTCAAAGGACATTCCGTGCGAGATGGTGAGCTGGGGTGAGGTGACAGAAATACCACAGACCAGGAGGATCAATTTCCCTGCCTACAGACCAGCGATCATTCTGAATGATTAAAGACCTCAAGACCACCCCGACAAAGAAAGCGCAATGTTTGGCAAGTTCGGCAAGGGCATTTATCCAAGCCATGTCCACAAGATGGGCTCACATGAGGTGCTCTCCAAGCCCGCGATCTCCAGGAAGTGTGATTTCCTACAACACCACGATCAGCGCGACGGAGACTGAGCCAACTTCATCCCTTGATCCCTGTTGGACCGAGCTTTTTTCGTTCAGCTTTGAGGCCACGAGGCCACTGAGCCGATGCCACTTGCCACTGAGGAGAAGGCTGGGCAGTGGCAAGTCGCGATGCTCTTGATGGAAGAGTTGACCTGCCAGATGGCCCCTCAAGCGGCAGTACCGAGCCACTCAAAAAGGGACACCACGTCACAGTCGAGCCTAAATAAAACCTGCAAAGGTACTCGTAGAGTAGAGCCGGCAGAAGCAACACAGAGCAAGCCTTTTCTCATTTGTTTGCCCAAGTCTTGCAATACCTTTGCCTTGTGCGTGCGTTACTGACATGTCTTTGCAGCGATTTCCGCTCCTGTACTTGAGTGCTTTCGTTCTACGCCTGAGAACCAGGGTGAGCGACCAGACTTTTGTAACTACTGCTCCAACAAGCTTACAACGAATCAAGTCGTGAGTGGTGGGTGGTCATTTAGTCCACAAGGCTCATTACAGAAATGTCTTAGCGTATCTTAAAGTTGTGATTCAAAGCAACTATTAATGCGGCTTTCTCGGGGGAGTCCTTGCTCCGTTCGTAGCGATGAGAGGAGCCCTGTTCGTAGCTTTCTCGGGCGCGTGCTGAAGGGATCTGATTGGACACCCATCCCCACGCCAATACGGACTCCTCACAAGTGGGGTTTGCCGTGCCTGCATTCGGGTTTGTTCAAAACTGATGCAATTTCTTGAATTGGGAAACCATGGATATCTTCATATAACAACACTTTCATGATTTCGTTGTTTTCGCATTCTATCTTGTTTGCTCTGCCATATCTTTTGGTTTCCAACCGGACGTAGCTCTACAGAGGGAGCGAGACATCGCCAGCAAACACCCACCCCTTCCGGACGGCAGGAGACGGCAGATCTCACGGACCGTTGTGAGATGTTTGGACGCCACTGACTAGGGCCTAGGGGCTCCTGGCATCGCTACGAACGGAGCAAGAAGCTACGAACGGAACAAGAGTGCTCCAAGGGGCAGAATGATCCACACGTTTCCACAACTCGCTAATGTCTGGAGATACTCGCCACCGCTGAAGGTGCCCGACATCATCACCTACAATGCCGTCATCAGTGTATCCTGAGCGTGCTGAGCAAAAGGGTTTTCTTTGGCATTGTTCTTTTTGGAAATAAATCGTGGTTACAATGCACATCACCGGAACATGATTTTCAAACCCATTCAAGGCATGCGCGAAAGATGGGCAATGGCAACAGGCCATGTGTTTATACCAAGCGCTGCTGGGAAGCCGTTTGCAACCCACAGTGATCACCTGTAGCTCCGTGGTCAGTGCCTGTGAAAAGGGTGGCCAATGGCATCGGGCCTTACGTTTCTGGGCACAGAAGAGTACAATGGGGAGTGGGGTTACAAACTGCATAGCTAAACTGCTAAACCATTAAAAACAGAGATGCAGAATGATGCAGAGATGTTGTTTCCTTGTTGCGCCAAGAACCCAGCCATTAAGCGAATCGTGCCGGTCCCGGAGGTTTGCTTGAAGATCTTCCAAGATCCAAAGTCCAGGCAAACATCATCACCTTCAACTCGGACGCTGATCTGGGAATGTCAGGGCTAGGAAAAGAGTAGCGACAGGTTTCAGGACTTTCCATGGAAAACATGTGGTTCTTTCAGTCAGACTCCTTCTCATGGCGCCTCCTTCTGGAGTCGCCCAAATTCTCATCGCGTTGCCTTCAGCACGACCCACCGATCGGCGACCCCCTCCGATCGCCCCAACGGGTCGGGCCGTCATACAGAGACGGAACGCTGGGGGTGGGTCGCACCGCCGAGACAGCTCTGCGCCCGTAGGTCTTCTTGTCACTATAGTAATTAGTAAGAATGCTACTAGTAGTACGGCCAGGAGCCCCTAGTAGCGTCCTTGCTCCAGTAGTAAGGCCAGGAGCCCCTAGTAGCTTCTTGTTACTAGTAGTGCCCCGAGCGCCCGGGTGTGAGGCCATCAGTGCCTGTGAAAAGTGTGGGCAATGGGGTGAAGCCTTGCGGCTCATGGACGGGCTGAAGGAGCGTGGCCTATCAGGTGACCTTTCGGGAGCATTGGTCCCCATTGTTCACAACATTTCAACGCGAAACAGGTATGACGACTTGAAGCCAACAGGAAAGGTATGAAGCCAAAGTCGTTGGCGGCCTCTCCCACCGAGGTGATGTCGTGACCTTTAACTCCACGATCAGTGCCTGTGAGAAAGGCGCTGAGTGGCGCCAATCCCTGCATCAGATGCGGAACCTGAGCCTCCGCCATTTGAAGGCAGAATGGACGAGCTTCTTTGGAGCTCCCGGTCGGCTTCGCGACTGGGCCTCTCCTCGTCTTCGGTTTGGGACTCGGGACTCGGCCAGTTTCGCCCCGTTCGGTTTGCGTCCCGATCGTTCCGTTCGAGTCGCGATGCCCGAAATGCTCCTAATAGCGTCCGATCGCTCCTAGTAAGGCCAGGAGCCCCTAGTAGCGTCCGATCGCTCCTAGCTTGGTTCGGAGGCGAACGTGATTAGCTACAACTCCAGCTGGAGCGCCGCGGCAGCGTTTGGATCGCTGTTTCGAGAGGTGGGGAATGGTAAGGGGGAAAGGTGGGTCAATCCAGTGGTTGCCCGTGGCAACGATGATCGTTGCTTGAGGTGATGGGTTCTATGTTTTTTTTGGTCTGAGCAATGAAGGCAAGAGGGTCAGCACAGTTTGGATTTTTGACACAATGCTGAGTTTGATGATGTTGGATGATGTTTTTGTGAACCAAGACAGGACATGTGATTCTGGACTGGTCTAATTTCTGTGCCCTGATCTTTTCTGCGACTGCGCCTACATTTCATTAACTTACCGTAGGGCAAACCATTATTGATAAACTTCCTAGCTTTATGTAATTTTAACGATCCATCGAAAAAGCAGGGCCCGAAATTGGTGCATCTCGCAACCCGAGCTCATGGGTATTTGTTGATTTCCCAGGTACCAGCTGGGAGAGCCAAGTTGTTGTGGAGAAACGGAGTCGTTCAGGTCTTGAGATCTAATCTACCATACCAAGGTGCCCAGGAGGAGTGTGGCCAATGGTTACAAGCCCTGCGATCACTTGAACAACTTCATCAAGAGGGCGTGTCAACAGGGAACCTGACCTGCAATTCAGCCACTGGGTTGTCATAAAGACCCTGATCAGTGGCATGCATGGATGATTTATGGCCATGCGACATTCCTTATGATTTTACTTGGAACTTTAGATGACGGGATCAGAGCAGCCACCTGCTCAAGAGAAGGCCAAGGAAACATCGCTACGATTGAACAGTTAGCCCTGTGGCGGCCGAGGGAAACACACTTTGTTGTTGTTCTGGCAACTGGTGAGCTTGCTCGGGGGGATGATTTTGATGGGACCTCTCTGTCTTCGTGTGCCTAGGTGATCAGTGCGTGTGAGAAGGCCAATCATTGGCCTCATTCATTGTGGCTTTTAGGCTAGGAGAAGATTTTGCATCCTTGGATTTGGAGATTCGTACTCGGTCATACTGGGCGTCCGCCCAAAAAGACAGACATGTTGAAACATGTTTAAATCAACTTGCCTTGATTTCCGAAAACACCAGCACCAGCAGCTCGATTCTAGTGTCTAGTGTGGTTGGGAGTTCTTCATGTCATTTTTTAAAACACTTTTTTGTTGATATTTTTAGCTTTTCCATCTATCTTGGATTTCTGTTGTTCCATTATTTGTTGGAAATTGACTTGGATCAATTCACAGACATATTTCTCAAAGAGCCCACTCGTGTCACCCCACATTTTCTTGCCCCTCAATGCTGGCAGATACAGAACCCTTTCCCGCTGGAAGGTGTGTATAAAACCATTCCAGACAGAGAGAGGTGCCTCTCCTGGAGCTGAACAACATCCATTTTATCATGTTGCACCTGCTGCATTGGATCCGCGGGCCAGCGAATTCCAGCAGATCCGATGCTCCAGTCAAACTTCGTGTCGCATGAACCGGGCAGGAACCGGCTACCGCTTCCGGCCCCGGAACTCGTTCGCAGGTGATTTGCATCATCTCCATGACCTGATTCTCCTCACCTGTGGCCTTGCAGCTTTCCACGTAGAAGCCTTGTGGCGTCCCACGCTGCAGCTCCTCCGCGACTGGCCCCAGCCAGCAGAGCTCTTCGCGGGTCCTACGGCGGCCCCCGTGGAGAGCTTGGCGGTCACCGCCTGCGTGAAGCAGCGCGGACCAGAGCGGCGGCGAAAGGAGTATGGTTTGGGATGGATATGGATCAGATTTGGGGATCAGCTTTTGTGAATTTGATAGGACTTTTTGTTCTACTTGGGGCAGTGGCAGACAAAGTCACCAGGTTCCTTGTCCTGGAGCTCGTACAGTATGGGGTCGAATTTGCCCACGCATACCAAACAGGATTGTGCATAAACTCACGTGTGTGTCGCTGATACTTTGATTGGTGCAATCGAGGTTTTGGGTGATTTCGATTTGGTCGCAGGTTTTGTCGCAGAAACTCAAACCATGGCTAGACTTAGGCAGCGTAAATGGCGCGAGTCCGTGCTCCTACGAGAGCATTTCTCAGATCAGCGCCTACCTGCAAGCGCACTCACGGTGAATCTGGCGAAGCTTGGAGAGTAGACGTGATTCCAATCCATCCTCCCTGCCAGAAGACCGCTTTACTTGGTGAGTATTTGTTTCATTTCTCCCAGCGATTTGTGATTCCAAGTGATTACCGGGCTTTCTCAATTGCTGCATGCTCTAATCCTCTAAGCAGTCCACTTGAGCAAGCGACCAATCCGACCAATCCTGAGGATCGACGCCTGTGAGAAGCTAAGCTATTGGTCCCAAGCGCTTGGACTTTTGAAGAATTTGGAGGATCAAGAGCAGTCAAATGCCATTTCCTATGGTGCCTTGGAGGCATCTCGGAACACTTGGGTCTTTCTGGGTTCCATTTAGACTGGATGTGCGGGCTGTTCTGGTCGGTTTGACCCCTCCAACAGAAGTAAACAAGAGGATGCTGAGGAACCAGAAGGGCCCATTTGCACCTCTATGTAGTTGGGTTTGTAATGAAATCAGGGACACCACAACTTGCCCTGATGGAGGAAGAACTCATTGGGCCAAAAGTATATTCTTTTTGGCCTGGCTCGACACATCCATTTGGGTCTTTCAAGTCAAAGAAATCCAACCATACAGGTGAGGTTGGAAAGAATTACCTGCATTCCATTTGATGTACAGTATCCTTATCCTTATAGGACGTAGCGGGACCTCTCCGCCCAGGTTCCTGTTTGTCCGCCTGCGATGTTGGCTCGCGTCACCGCGCCCACGAGCCACGCCTCTGCAGGGAGTTGCAAACCGCAGGGCTGGCCGCTTTGGCCACGGAAAAGAGGGGCGGGGCTGAGGTGAATCGGTGGAATCCAGAACCCAGATAAAACCCCCACTTCGAAAAACCAAGAGGCTAAAACTGGTACTTCTCACTTTTAGTGGTTGACCTTTCCGCCTCTTTTCTTCCAACACAGCTTCCCTTTGGACGAACTCGACGGACGGATCCGCGCCAGGACATCGCCACGTTCCGTGCGGCCTTTGGCTTGGCGGCGCAAGACCCGGCCTTGCCCTTGCCCCGGCGGGAAGGCGCCACGGTGCGTTTTTGGGCTGTCTTCGGTGCGTTTTGGGTCTGAAGACGTAGGTGGGATGATGTTGATGCGAAAGTATGCGACTGGCCAAAGCTACGGAAGACATCATGGTGAAAGCATTGACAAAAGGAAGCATGTGCCCTATCCAGAGCAAAAAGCCAATTTTTGAGAGCTGCACCAGGAATAGAGATGGTGCTTGAACGTGCAAAGGTTTGGGGTTCATTCCTTTCAGTCAAACTTGTGTGCGGCTTTCGCAGGGGACGCCCAGCGTGGGACTCAGGATGCTACAGAACCTGTTGCAAGAGCATCCTGAGTGAAACACTCGATGAACGTGGCAGCTGGAAGCATTTGTGGCTTGAGGAACTGGTTCAGGTGACCGAGGAAGACTGTTCGGATGAGATGGTCACCATCGAAGCCTAAGGGGAGAGGGGCATTGTGGTTTTGTACCTGAATATCCCTGAATCACACGCAGATTGGCTACATTGGCTTTACTTGAAGCTTTTGCACTTGAAGGCTTTTGATATTTTCCGAGGTCCGATTGCAGTGCATTGGACGAGGTGGAGGCTCGACTTTGGGAGACGGTTCGACTGGCACCGATTTCGGAACCTTCACGACTTCAACACTGAAGAAAGCGTCAATACCATGGAGTCATGAATGAAAAGGCGTGAGTCATGAGATGGACACTTGCTCCATTGGATTTGCTTGAATCACTTGAATCTTCTGTTTGGCGTTTGTCTGGCACTGATTGCGGAGGTTCAGCCTTCCTTCCACGTATTTTCATTGTTTCTTGTATTTTCATGCACTTCTGATCTGTCGTCCACGTGGCTGTGATCACCCCTTTCCGGTGTTCCCACCAGGAGAGGTCCTCTCGAGGGAAGCTGGACCTCTTCGCGGCTTCGCTGTTCAACACTCGAACACGGAGGAAGTATCCAGCGCCCGGAGGGGCAGGTTCGGGATGCCTTCAGTGAGGAGCCATGTTTGTCGAAAAAAAGATGCACCAGTGTGTTTGATCACGTCGAGATGTTTTGTTCTAGTTCCAGTCTGGGTTTCTTGACCACATTCTGGACATAGAATGCAAGACTTGGATGTCCAGCCGTGGTAAAGACTTTGAACTAGAACTCAAAAAGACTTTTCTAGTTCCAAGTCTAGCAACACTGAACTCAGAATGCTGGTGACTCTTGAACTCAGCAGGCTGGTGTCCTGGTGACGAGCTGGCCTTGTGTCTCTTCACAGATGCTGTCTTGGTTGGGATTCCCAGGTCCAGCCGCAAGGGTTGGGGGCCACATACAGACGAAATGCTGCGGTGGACCAGCGCGCTAAAGATCCTAGGTTGGGGTTGCTCCTGAGTGGCTCAAGCAGGGTGATTCTTTGGCGCGCGTGTGAGGAAACACCCCTGCTTCTTCCAAGGGCCTGCGATGATGGTGGCCTAACCCAAGAGCGAGAGTGCTGATGATGGAAACCTAACTTCTCAACTTCTGCGAGTTTTGCAGATCGCTATCGCTGAACATGGAGATCCAGAAGTTTGATTGACCAATATTCTTTACATTTTGGTATCGCACAGAACCCCCAAAGAAGGTGACTCTTCACCGTTCTCGCCGATCTTTGTCCGGACTACCCTCCGATTCACCAACATGTTTCCGTGGTGGAGGTGTGGTGCCGTGGCCTCGCTTAGCAATCGGCCCAACGACTTGTGAGTCGAAAGGAGTTGATCGAACGACTGAGGATGGGAAAGTCTCACCCTATGTGCGATCAATGAAGAGGTGCCTTTAGGGCTTATAAGCCTCACGACTCTGCTGACGTGGCACTGTGGTTTTCTCGTCACCTGTTTTCATGCGACGAAAAACGTGGTGTGAGACTAACTCCGCTGATTCGGGCAGAATTCAAGCGAAGCCTTCACTACTTCACATGTTTTCAGAAAGGTCTTCAAACAATTGATGCTCCTGGACGCTGGATATAACTACAATCAACTATAGTTACTATAGTATCAATTATATATTGTTGATTTAGGAATGCGAGTGAACATGACATGAGTGAACCACAGGCAGGGGATTTTATGGACCGATCCGCAGCTTTCGGACGCGTTTTGGGAACTGCGTCTCCAACGGTGTTCCACCAGGCCAAGCTCTGAGGAGCTCGAACGCCCTGGGGTTGGGGAGCTTAGAGGACTCGGTCTTTGGTCGATGTGGCACGAACTGGACACCATTTCCTTTCCATGCCCTTTGTTCCTAGTAAGGCCAGGAGCCCCTAGTAGCCTCCTTGCTCCTAATAGCGATGCCCTTTGTTCCTAGTAGCTTCTTGCTCCTGACTGGAAGAAGACAGATGCTAAAGAAAAGCCACTCCATGTCCAAGTCTATATCTATGGGGATCTAGAGTCATTTAGTATGAGGGTACTTGAAGTCCTTTTGGACATGCAACCAGCTCCACTTTTCGGACACAACCAGCTCCACTTTTGCGAAGAGAGAGGCTCTTTCTCGGCGTTTTCCTAGGTGAAAGAGCTTTATGGGACCTCAGTGGAGCTAGAGTTGTTGCGGCCAGTTCAAGAGAACCACACAGAGGCGGGACGAAGGGAGGGACGGGACGAAGGCCTGGACGATTCTTTTTTCTTTGCCTTCACTGGGCTGGTGGATTTGACTTGCATCAATGAATTTACTAAATGTGTTTTGCCTTCTACGTGGGATGCTCCCTCTGATTGCCCCTCCTGGTTTTGATCCTGGATAGGCTTAGCATGGACCTGGGCAGAGAGCCCCTTACCACCAATAAACCCTCAAACATAGTCACTGAATCACTTTGTACTCGTAGCAGTGACCTGTCAAATCCTCGCGAGGTCCTCCTCCTCCTCTATGCGCCCTTCTGTAGCTATTCGTATCTTGACCATTGAGGGTGGCGAGCAGCCTTGTTGGCGTCGAAAGCTGTCAAGAAGAGATTGGATGGTCTCAGTCCTGTGTGGCATGGGTCTCAGTCCTGTTCGTTCCCCGTGGACACGATCGTTCATGGATTTCTCGATGTGCTGCACGTATGTAGATCACCCTATATAGTGCATTGCTGCATACGTGAGAGCACTGAGACCAACACAAGGGTGCCACTGACGGTCAGTCAAGGTTTATCAAATCAATCGATCGATCAAGCAAGCAAGCAATCAATATAATCAATCTTAATATATCTTAATTGGTTACCCTTCAGATACATTGGTATAGCCCGGCCCGCAAAAAAGGTGACTGCAGTCCCCTGATGCTGCAACTTTGTTCCAACCACTGCCTATTGTGGAATGGACAGCAGGGCCATGCAGGGATCCATTCTTGTTTGCTACCCAAACCTTCCAAACGTTTGTGGCACAGGCGATGTCACAGCCGTTTGAAGCCCTCCGAGGCAGCACTTCTTCTGGATCTGGGAGCAACTCACCTCTGCGATCCAAGCAGCTACAGGCAAACTTCATGTTGCAGGGAGACTTGCCTGGGTAAACCAGAAGGCTGGTAGGAAACTAGGAACGCTTCGTTACAAGATGCAAGGAGAACATACATAATTAGCAGGTATAGATGAGCATGTGGTAAGTGCCTAAGTGGAAAGCATTTGATAGCATTTGCTTGGCAGTTCTCCATGGGACGGGGTGCATGCCAGGAACCACTCTTCGGCATGTTGAGGAAGCTTCCCCAAGAATTTGAAGTCCAGACCTTCCATTCAACTCTGTAACGTCAGACAGTTGGCATTGTTTCGAGAGATAACCACAACGAGAATGAGAACAGCTGTGACTTGGGTACCCAACCACAAGGAGAATGGGTACGGAAGACCGAGCAGCTGTGTCGGTGAAGACCGGTCGCGTCGCGTCGCCACCTGTGAGGCCCCAAAGATGGCCGAAGCCCCAAGGACCCGTCGAGGGGAGTCGAAAGGTTGATGTGTTGAAGCAAGTGGAAAGGTCACGCTGTCGGAACGATTAGAATGAATTGGATGGATATGGTTTGGTTCCGCGATGTTCTTGAAATACTGCTACTCTTCCTTATCTTCCTTCAACGTTCAGGTGGGTCACGATAGTGGAATTTGGCCAACTATCGAATTCAGAATCAGGTTGCCAAACCTAGGAGATTCTCGAAGTCTGCCTGAACTGCCGAGATCATATGCAGAATGCTCGAACATCAGTTGAACATCATTGGTGACATTCTTAAAGTATGAAAGTGCAACATTTGGTGCAATGGTGACCGAGTCACCCATAAATTATTTGTCATGCTGTACTCCTTGCTGCGGTCTTGCAGGTTGAAGGCTCGCTTTAGGGAGACATCAATGCAGCCAACATTAGCCCCTAAAGAACGAGTAGTTTCACCATGCGCAATCCCTCTCTCGTTCTGACCTGGCTCCCGCGGAACTGCCAGGTCCTAACATTGGCGCAGATGGATGCCATGCAGAATGAGCATGCCAGACATGTCTTGGAAGAGCAACACATGTCCGATGGTGCTTTGGGGAAATTCCATGAGTGCCCCCAATCAATTTCCTACAAAGCTTGAGGGCCACGGAATTCTGTGGCGAAGGAAGGTCACACAATTTTCATCATCCGTCATGTGCACATGACCCTATCAACCCAACGAGAGCTCAAGACTTGTGCCGTTCTTCCGTCCTTCCGTGTGTTTGTTCTTCTTGGAAGGAAGGACTCGTGTGTCCCTTGTGATTCACTCACGCTTGTTTTTCAGAGGCGCGGGTAGAACATGTAGAGCCACACCTCGTTTTTCGTGGTGAGTGGAGGAAGAGTGTCACCATCACTGACTTCTCGGATGAAGACTGGAAGTACCAAATTCGCCACGGCCACGAAGTGG